TTTATGATCTACACGATTTAGTTTTCACCTAACATAGAAAAATGCTGTCTTCAGTTACTTTAACAATTTCTATAATTGAATTTAATTTTGATAGATTTTTGAAAAACAGATTCTGTTTATCCAGAGAAATTGTTTTAACACAATAACAATGAAGGTATATGTTTTTATTTCGGTGATCTGAAAGAAACATCTGCTGTTTTAGATCAATTCTTTATTTTAGTCACAATTTTTTATAGTCACTTTTAGAGCCAAACACAATTTATCACCCAATTTTAACTCCTTCCTCTTATCATACAAAATTGATTTTATGAAAGATGTGAGAGAAAACGAAAATATTTATTTTGGAGTCTATTGACAAACACCTTTATTTATTTATCTCATTCTGCTGCAGGCAATTTTTTCCCAAGTAAAGTGGATTTTATGAAGATATGTTTTTCACTTCTAATTATCCCGAAGAGGTTAATATGGGTCTTGTCCATGTATTTAAATTCACATGTGTGCTTCAGTGATGAAAAATGGATTTAACCATCAAAGCATTTCACTGACATGATCAGTGTAACCACTCTCAATCTTTAAAACTCTTTAAACAGTTTTCTGTCCATTAACCAGACAGAACTACGGAATCTCCACTTGCTGACAAATTGGTTGGTCATTAAGTAGTTAAAAAGCTTTTAGGGGCCCTGAGTCCTGATCCTGATGGTTAGTCTCACAGCTTTACCTGTTCGCTTCATACCTGAGAGAGTTGATAGGTGGAGGAACTCTTTGATTCAGGAGGTAGATATTTAAAGCATCTATGATTAAAGATTCATTGGTCAAAGTTCAAACAATACTATGCTTAAGCGATGAAAGTTCATGGGATTCAACAGGACAGAATAATCTCCCACAAACCTTTTGCTCAATTTTAGAAATGTTCATTTTTTTCTTTATGATCGATATACAGAACAACACCAATGCTTAGCTTCAGGTGAAAGGTGATAGACTTCATTACAAAGTAAAACCTGGTTCACTGTCAGATGTCTCAATTCCAGGTTAATATGTTCTAATGATGTAAATCTGTCTTTGATTTTCATCAATTGGTGTTTTATAGTGTAATATAACTCTACAGAGAGTTTACCTTGTGTCTTTCTGATAGGCCAAACACATTTTGTAGGTGAGTTCAGCAATATTCACAACCCTTGAAGACCTCACCTTGAAGGTGAATACTTATGTCAATTGGCTCAAAATTTAACTTGAACAATGCATTGAAATTAAAATGACAAATTTTCAATAAATTTGGATCAAAATTATTCAAGATTAATCAGAAAACATTGTTTCATATTTCATTAGAAGTAATGTTTGGGCCTAAGTTCCAGTCATGAAAAACATACATTTGAATGTTTTTGGCCTTGTGTAATTCTTAGATAGTTTTCAGGGCTAGCTATATGTTGTCTGATTCAGATTGGGTTAATCTGTGCCCTCTAACTGTTTGTTTTTACATAAAACTGTTGGAAATTTATTTAAACTACCATAATTATTGAAAAAAGAAAAGTACAATTCACTGTTTAATTCTTTTCTACATGTGATGGGTGCACTTGGTCACTCTGTACTGTTGGGAAAAGACACACTGACACAACTGCAGAGTATTGCTTACACTAATTTAATTCTTGAATATCCCTGTGACAGCTTTGTTTTCTTTTTAAAAGATGTTTACATTTACACAGCAATACCACAGTATAAGCTAACAGGAGAAAAGTGTGATTTATGTTACAATAAATGCTATCCAGTAAGTGACTATTATGACATCAGTGTTGTGGGTATAGAAACAGCGATGATTTGCCATAAAAATAACAGTTCCATTTTGGGGTTTCAAATGTTGATGATGAATCAATCATTTTACTCAATTTAAGATATAGTTCACAAAAGAGAATTTATTGGTAGGAAATGCAAATAAACATTGATCTGTCATGTGGCATTTATGGTCGTAATAAATGACAAAATTTTGCAGCACAGGATATATTGGCCTCATAACCATAATCATCGCAATAAAACAGTTCAATGCTTAAATATTCTGAAGCTGAAAATGTTTTACACAAGATCTTTAAAAGAAAAAAAGTAAATTAAGAAATTAAATTTTCTTTTATTAAAGCCCTTTTAAGGTAAAAATTAAGGGTTTACATTCTGAAATCTGCGTTTTATCAGATGGTGTAATTATGAATGGAAACATTCTGAAAATCATGATTTCAATAAGGCACATAGGAACACAATGCCAAATTCCTAGAACAATTTATTTCAATACACATTTAGCATAATTAACATAATTTGATTGATACATGCTATGTTCATGTTTAAAGACACAATTGGGGAGAATTTTGTTTTCTTGAACTTTTTTCTTAATTTTTGAATTAAATATGGAATATATGATATACAAACTTGCATGAAAACTGACTTCTCAAAATGGAAATTGAATTACTAGCTGTCACAAAAAAACCCATTTAAATTCCTCCAGAAGTTTATCCCTCCTGTCTATAAATGCAGACTTGTTATCACTGAAGTTCAATTCCTTAGAATTTTCTGGACACCATTGTACGAGGTAACAGGTTTATAATGATCTATCATCTAATGATTACAAGTTGAAGAGTGTAAGTAATCACAGCTAATTCAGGGAGACAATTTGTCAAATGAAGATGTCAAACTAAAAATAGTGTGGTACAAATAGGAGCGAAGTGGTGCCATTGTACCACAGAATTCCTAACGGCGTCTGACCATTGGAAGGTTTCTCCAAGACAAGTGTAGTTGCAGGAGTACTGAACTCCAACTCACACACGGTTAAAATTACGATCATAAATCGTAATTTGGTGTAATCTGTTTTTGTTTGTAAACATTTAAGTTCAAGATGTCACACGTAACATTAATTACCTGGATAATACGATTTTACCTGTAGACATCATTAAAGAACTTGAATGTCAATTACGATCCTATCAGTGTCATTCCTCACCGGCACCTACAGGTCAGTCCACATGACCCAAAACTTTAACCTGCCTCGGAAATTGTCTTGTACCTATTACTCACGCATTGACAGGAAAACAATGGAACTGCTTTTAAAGGATTAGTTCTACTGGGTGTCGGAGTGAAGGAATTCTACACTGCTAAAGGTTGTAAACAGTCGTGACCTTCCCGTCTGCGCTCATCTTCTGGTGACAATCAGTGTGTACATTACACTGTCACAGATCGCCACTGATATCAGCGTCATTTAACTGTCAAAAGTAACAATTTGTATCCTTACACTCCTTGCCTTGTCAGTTTAACTCTATCAAGAAACATGTTATCAAAATAATGAAAAAAGGCGCCATGAAATTTCATTTCATACAATATTTGTATTTTCATTCTTTAATTAATCAATTTTACGTAAAAGATTTGTGCGTAAGTATCTTAATTACTGTGTGTAATGGTGAACCTTCTGTGGCAGATTGTACAGTTTTACATAAAGGTTCTGAATCATCAAGACTCATAATGGCTGACCACAAACAACTCTATTGAATACGTGAAAGATATAAATGTGAAAATGTCATGTCTGGCGACAAGCGTTAAATAAACTGATACATGGTCATCGCTAATTATCTTATCTTTAAACCGTGGACAATAGGAGTTGAAACTGACAACAACAAATTTTTTAAGGATCTTCCGGACTTCCGTTCTCGCTTAGCACATAAAGACATATGGTACTAAGTAATTACAAAAGCGGAACCCCCGCGGTCATACTGGTCACGCAATCATCAGTATCAAATTACGGTCGCACGTCCACCAAAAAATTAAAAAAATTGTTATTTTCTCCCCTCAAATTCTGCCACACATATCGTTATTGGATGTTTTCATGTCAGAAGTGTGTTAAAATTTTCACCTGTCATTTCATTCATCATCATTTGAATTGACATTTTTACTTGTGAACAAGACAGAGTTCAGTGCTGTATTCATAAAGCTTTTAACAAAATCAATTTAACGGGAATATGATGAATCCTTATCGCTACGTCATCATTGTCATTTATCAAACCAGCTCTTGGATACATTCCTGTCTGTTAAAATCGAAATTGATTGCGATGACGTCTTTATGAACATTTCTTGCAAATGAGTGATCTTTGACATTTTCAGAAACTTCTGTTGCTGTTCCCTATTACTTTACTGATATGTCAGCTGTTTCTTTTTGTGTTCAAAAGATATGACTAAATACTGATTTTAAAATCAAATGAAAAAAAAAAAATAAGGAAAATTCCAAGTAATATTTGATGAATTATCATAGAGCGCTTCAAGAGCATATTTTGACCATCCATGAAAAAAGGAAACAATTGTTGTGTGCTATAACACATCATTGAAAAGCATTTTTGAAATTTGAATAATATTTGAACAATTTCTATAATTTCATAGTAAATCATAAATATCGAAAAAAAAAATTCTAAAATTTGAATAATATTTGAACAATTTTTATAGTTTTATTATAATTTTAAAATTTACCAAAAAAGTTTCAATATGTATTGTACTTGAGATTGTTGAATTTTTTGAAGATGACGTGTATTATCGTATCTTCATTATAACGCTTATAAAGTCATCAGCAAGACCTGTTGGACTGGAAAAAAATACTCTAAGTTATTAGCAGGTGTATCTAACTGGACGTTATGTACACCTGCCCAAGTGGCGCGATACAGGTATATGTCACATAGCGTTCAGGTAAATCACGATAGAAGAACTCTGATGATCTGGCCATCACCTGGCTTCTGCTGTGAGCATAATGAAGATATAAAACATCTTAAGATCGTTCCGTATCATTTATGCGTAACTAATAACTGATATGGTAAAATAACTACTGATGAATCGGACATTATATCTTAAAAATTTAATATTTCATATAAATACCTCACAGATGTATCATGCTGTATCTAGTGGGCTTCTGAGGGTCCAGTATCACTGTAGGGGATATAGCCAGCTTCTGATGGGCGAGCAATTCATTGTAAGGGATATTAAACTGGCTTCTAAGACATTGCTGTAGAGATATAGCAGGCTTCTGATGGAGACATTGCTGTAGGGATATAGGCAGGCTTCTGATCTAGACATTGCTGAAGGGATATACAAGCTTCTGATGGAGACATTGCTGTAGGGATATAGCAGGCTTCTGATGGAGACATTGCTGTAGGGATATAGCAGGCTTCTGATGGGGGCATTGCTGTAAGGATATAGGCAGGCTTCTGATCTAGACATTGCTGTAGGGATATACAAGCTTCTGATGGAGACATTGCTGTAGGGATATAGCAGGCTTCTGATAGGTTTATCACTGTAGGGATATAGCAGGCTTCTGATGGAGACATTGCTGTAGGGATATAGCAGGCTTCTGATGGAGACATTGCTTCTGATGGTGACATTGCTGTAGGGATATGGCAGTTTTCTGATGGAGACATTGCTGTAGGGATATAGCAGGCTTCTGATGGAGACATTGCTGTAAGGATATAGCAGGCTTCAGAAAGAGGCATTGCTGTAGGGATATAGCAAGCTTCTGATAGAGACATTGCTGTAAGGATATAGCAGGCTTCAGAAAGAGGCATTGCTGTAGGGATATAGCAAGCTTCTGATGGAGACATTGCTGTAGGGATATAGCAGTCTTCTGATGGAGACATTGCTGTAGGGATATAGCAGTCTTCTGATGGAGACATTGCTGTAGGGATATAGCAGTCTTCTGATGGGGGCATTGCTGTAAGGATATAGCAGTCTTCTGATGGAGACATTGCTGTAAGGATATAGCAGTCTTCTGATGGAGACATTGCTGTAGAGATATAGCATTCTTCTGATGGAGACATTGCTGTAGAGATATAGCATTCTTCTGATGGAGACATTGCTGTAGGGATATAGCAGTCTTCTGATGGAGACATTGCTGTAGGGATATAGCAGTCTTCTGATGGAGACATTGCTGTAGGGATATAGCAAGCTTCTGATGGAGACATTGCTGTAAGGATATAGCAGGCTTCTGATGGAGACATTGCTGTAAGGATATAGCAGTCTTCTGATGGAGACATTGCTGTAAGGATATAGCAGGCTTCTGATGGAGACATTGCTGTAAGGATATAGCAGGCTTCTGATGGAGACATTGCTGTAAGGATATAGCAGGCTTCTGATGGAGACATTGCTGTAAGGATATAGCAGGCTTCTGATGGAGACATTGCTGTAAGGATATAGCAGTCTTCTGATGGAGACATTGCTGTAGGGATATAGCAGGCTTCTGATGGAGACATTGCTGTAAGGATATAGCAGTCTTCTGATGGAGACAATGCTGTAAGGATATAGCAGTCTTCTGATGGAGACAATGCTGTAAGGATATAGCAGGCTTCTGATGGAGACATTGCTGTAAGGATATAGCAGTCTTCTGATGGAGACAATGCTGTAAGGATATAGCAGTCTTCTGATGGAGACATTGCTGTAAGGATATAGCAGTCTTCTGATGGTGACAATGCTGTAAGGATATAGCAGTCTTCTGATGGAGACAATTCTGTAAGGATATAGCAGGCTTCTGATGGAGACATTGCTGTAAGGATATAGCAGTCTTCTGATGGAGACATTGCTGTAAGGATATAGCAGTCTTCTGATGGAGACATTGCTGTAAGGATATAGCAGTCTTCTGATGGAGACATTGCTGTAAGGATATAGGCAGGCTTCTGATCTAGACATTGCTGTAAGGATATAATAGGCTTTTCATTCAGTAATCACTTTACACCTTTTTTCTCTCAAGACAAATATTATTCTGTCAAATTTGTGAAATTTAATGATATGAATCAAGAAACCATTATATATATATGTATCTGAACATAAAATTCTCAGGTAATATATGTGTCTACTCTGACACTGTAACTGTAGGTATCCCACAGAGTGGCCCAGCATCCATTGACAAGTAAATCTTAAATGATAATTGGGATTCAACTCCCATTAGATAAATTATTTCTACATTTTTTCAATTTTTTTCTTTTTTTGTGAGTTTAATATAGATTTAATACTTTAACGGTGAGTCACCCAAAATGACGAGCAGTTTTGACAACACTATTAAATGATGCGTGGAGGATGGGAAAGGAGAATTTTTCACGTTACAATAGTAGATCATGTACAGATATGAAGATTGAACATTAAGAAAAATATATGTCAACTTGTTAACAATATAAAAACTTGTAAAATCGATGATTTTTCCATAAAGATATGATTTATCACCTGACGTAGGAGCACATATCTTCGTATTCGTCAGGTGATGACTGCATGTTTTTGTATTGTGACAAAATACAAACATATGAATAATTCAGTATTTCTTTCTTGATTGATATGACTAAATAGATGTTTTTACCTGAAGATTAATTGATTTAATTCATTATTAATTATTCATGCAATGATTTAAATTAACATCATGATCATTAATTTGTTACCTATGAAGGTTAACTAACAGATGTCTGATGAATTTTCAATTGGTTTCCATAAATAGGAATTGGTTACCATGACAATTAATTATAATCAGCTAACAGTATATTTAGTAACAGTAACTTGTATTAAGCAGTACCTGATGTAGCACCGTAATATTCATCAGTAGGGATGTCAGTGTTTCATGGTTCAAGTTTTCGTTCTTTCACCAAATCCTGAACCAAATGATCCAATTTTTGAGCGAATTATCAAAAGGTCAATGGCTTCCTCTACAAATAAAATAAAGAAAGGTCAAACTCAAATTTTGATGAAATTAAAGGCATTAAGATATTAACAAAAGAAAGGTTTCCATGGAGACTCCTGAAACCGTACAAGGAGAATAGTTTTGGAAGGGTAAGTGTCTTCTGCTTCAACGAAAAAATGTCCCAAATGAGAACAATGAATAACTCTGAACTACTCTGCTAACTAATGATCACTAAATACAATTTATTTTCAAAGTATCTATTTTATTTTTAGATTTTTCTGAATTCTTGAAAATATTGAAAAATGAAACCATTTGAATATACATAAGTAAATTTTTAAGGTAGTGAAATAATTCTATATATGGTTTATATTGAATCTTTAGCTACAAAGATACTGTAAAAATACAAATTTTAGTGTGATTTTATTTTAGTGCTTTTGACACTGAAAGAATTGCGCCAAAATATGACTACACTTAATAAATTGTTTCTTCAGGATGTTGTTATATATATATAAATATATATATCTATCATTTCTGATACATGAATTATCATTACACTTATTTGCCAAATAGTAATAATGTGTTTCAAATTTATTTTGCTAAATTACTTACATTAACAGTATACATATATACTATTGTTGCCAGGTAAGTGTGTGGGCTTTGGTAATTGATTACAGTACGTTTCAATATTAAATTAAGGATAGATCCCCTCTGTTACTGACAGTAGCTATTTGTCTAGCACTGACCATCAGCCGGCTATTTACACCTTTTGTCACCTCTGAGCAGGGCTGTTTGCTTTACAGGCCACCCGATGTTTCAATATTTGGTTTGTTTTCACCTGAGGTAGTGCGATGTGTTAAATGTGTTCGTTACCTCACCTGGAGGCCTGTACAGGTAACACCTCCACCTTACCTGGATTACAAAACCTCACAGATAATCACTACTCATCCTATCTCTAAATACTCTAACCATTACTCACCTGTTATAGGGACTTCTAACTGTATTCAGGTGCCGAACTTCTGGCAGGGTAGTGTTTACTTGTTTTCATTTCTCCTTAGGCACACTTAGATCACAACTGCTGGTCTTGAATTGTCTCAATGACCAATTCATGGTCAAAACTGTCCCATCAGATGTAATTATTGTCCAAATCCTTCGAGAAGACTATTTGAGATAACATATTGTTTTTTTTAATAAAAAAAAAAAAACTATGCTTCTTTCTGAACACATCAATAATCACTTAAAAAATAGAAAAATATTTGAACTCTTTTAATTGCACTTGCACTCATAGAAATATTTTCCAAACAAATACTCTATTACCCTATTGGTGAAATAAGACACATTGTTTAAGCATAAAACATTGATTTTTTTTAAAGCAGCGAAGATCAATTTAATATTTTTGGAACTAGTGTTTAATCTTATGTCTCAACATGGTACTTAAATATTTAAGAACCATCATTTGAAATATAGATCAATTATCTAATACTATTATTAAACCACCATATAAAATGTTTGATATTTATAAATATTTCAGAAACATGCTAATGTGCATCGTTTTCTGTATACTATTTTCTGTTAAATTTATACATTTGTATAACAATATAGTGTAATTACCTTACTAACACATCATACTTGAATTTGACTTAAGGCTGTATGCCACCTTATACATTTTGCCTTTAAGTTGTATTAGAGTTATAATTATATCCCCTTCAAAGTTAGCCTTTGTGATTTATCCACTACTGCTGAATTTGTAAGAAAGTCCAATCTCAAACTCAAAGAAAATATTTAGTTTGAAAGTTTACAAAAAAAGAGGTGTGGAAATTTTCACACCTGGGCACATCACAAGGTATTTGTAAGTATCAGTATCACAATGCTATATGATTTTTGATACTTTCTCAAAAAAATTCATGTAAAACAAAATTTTATGACTCCAGTTGTAACATTTTTTTTTGCTGATTAAATTTATAGTTATTTCCTCAGCTTGTAAACAATATTGTAGCTTATTCATGAATCACTTTCATTTTTTACAAACTAAGAGGTGAATAAAATTTAATCCTATTTGAAATCTAGTATTGTAACAAATTTATCATTGTCATCCATTTGCTGAAGGCAGAGTGTTTGTTGTTTTTCAATGTTTCTGTATTGTTACTTGAAAAAGAAGATCAAAAGCCACTGTCAAACCGTAGCCTAACAGTTCCAAATGTTAATAAATCCAACGCCAAAAATATACCACTTCAATTTTGTTCTCAATTGACACCAAGGAATTAAAAAAAAAAACCTACAAATACATATACTGTCACATTCTGTTTTCACTGTGAATTCAATCTTATTGTTGAATGTATCATTACAACAGGAGTAATACCATTCAGGGTTTTGCACAGCGAGCAAATATCATTTTAGTATTTAAAATTGATCACTTCAATAAATATATTCAAAATTTCTGTTGAGGTAAATTGTTAAAAAAAAAAAAAAAAATGTACACATATGAAGAATTGAACTGATTACTGTATCTGAGGTGACTGGTACTCAGTGAACTACCGCTGTAGGAGATAGGCAAACAATACAGCCAGGTGTCTGAAGCATGCTACCTGTACAAAGGATACCTGCTAATCATATTGTTATTTGATAAAATTTCACATCATCATATTTTCATTTTGAATATGTTTTAATTTCTTTTGGGTCACCTGTCACCTGGCCTGCTGACCCAATGCCAATATTCTACCTTGGGAAAAATCTTCTAGAACAAATTTCATGCCCCTAAAGTAACATATGAATACTTCATAACAGTACGTCTGTATAGTATATATTACAGTGTTGGGACATATATCCCTAGCAATACACACAGAACAGCTATTCTTATCTGTTCACATGTGGGGTGGGGCATGTTAAATTGAGATATTATTAACAAACAAATATAGATTTGCCTCACTCTCATTTTTTGTAGAAATTTTATCCAGAGATCTTCGATACTGTTGCAAGTTATCAATTAACATTTGTGTAAAGACCTTTATTACACAGCATGTTTTATTCAAAATATTCCCTAATAAGGACATATTATATTCTACTATACAAATCACAGCAGTATCACATCACTCAAGACAAACGCAACAAAGACCTCAACAAGTCAGAGTGTTACAAATGCATGGAGGATGCATTGTGCATTCACAAACCACAGCACCTGTTGCAAACATTTGCCTGACCTAAAGATATAGAGACACTCGAGTCGTCAGTTTCAGTTTCAATTTTACCTGTAATCTTTACGATAAGTGATACTAACAGTAACAGGTATGTATATACGGCCTGTATGGGTTAGAGGGTACAGTAAGATGAATGCGAAGAGTTCACCATTTAAAGGACTCAGAAAAGCAGAGAGTACTCTGTTACACCGGTAATGAATTCTTTCATGATAATGCAATTTTAATACATCTCTCAATTGGCCTTTTAAGAAAACATGCACTGTTTTCATCTCTAAGAGATTCACTGCTTGTAAAATGAATATAGATGAATATCAACAATTTTCATTGCAAATAGTAAAAAAATGAATGAAAATTTTTATCTTATGAAAAATATTAATTCTTTAAGGTAATTCAGTAAAATATTGATAAGATGAAAAAAAGATTTTCACAAAAGATTTGTTCACCCTTATGACACCGTTTTTGACAGAAGTATCATCAATATATCTAAAATGATAATTTTGAGGTGAAGAATTTCTTTATTTGAGATCTTTGATCTGTCACAAAAGCAATTTCACTGGCGATAACTCAACAGTTACCACATTTGAACTTCAGTGCAGACTTAACATTTTTATCGGGTGTGAAATTTCTGTCCTTTTTATCTCGATGGTATTTAATTTTTATGTGAATTTTCATCCGTACGTGACAAAATAGATAACAAAAAAGGAAAATGTTAAGTTAACATTGATCTTTGATAGCACATAATCAATTAAACTGAGAAAAAGGCGTGCTCAATTGTATTTAATTGTTTGCAAGGTTA